TTTCACTAGAAACAATTTTTAGAGGCAAAAGTAACTGTCATTTGAAGGTTTTTTCTTTTTTTCGGTATGAGGAATCGAACTCAGGACCTTGTGCTTACTAGACAGGCGCTTGTGATACTGAGCTATATTCCCAGCCCCTTGAAGGTGTTTATCACTAGCATTGGAATATAAATTAATGGGTCTAAGGTGACTGTACTTGTTAATTGGATTAAATAACTTCTTTTATTGCCTTTTGTGTAGAAAGGGGAATGTGTTACTACTTTTTATGAATCTATCAACTTCTTGGCCATTGTGTTTTCTCACAGCAAGGCAACAAATTGGCATTCTGACTCATGAATCCAACTGTTCTGTAAGGTTGACTAATATCATATATCTCCCAAGAATTTGTTTCTACTTGGGAAAATTTCTCACTAGCCCTCAAATTATACTACATAGATGTCTACGTAGGCTGAAACCCACATAACATTGGGGTGAGGGATAGATGTAGCTCTGGGTCATGGTATTTAAGGGAGAGACACAATAAGTGTATATACCTATATATTCTAGGAACATTATATCACAACTGAACCTGTGGTTGTATTAATTGGCTTTATGAGAGTAGTGAAATATTTGAAATATTGTATTACATCCCAAACTTGGTGTGAGAAATTGTTTTTATCCTTTTAATTCCAGGAATCAGTGGGCTTAATAACAGCGAATAGCAATGAATAAAAATCTGGGGAGTGTGTTCATGGAAATACTGCCTAAATACTGCTTTTAGATATTTTATTTCTTTTAGAATTAAAACTTGAAGAGGAATTGCAGAGGACAGGATGTTACTGACAGGTTCTAGGGGTAGGAGCAGATTTCTGACTTAGAGTGAAGCATCTGGCCTAGCGGTGTAGTGTGGGTAGTAGGAGGTAGCTGGTCATACTCCCTCCACATTCAGTCTTGTTATGTGTTTTAACTTCCCAGAATGAACGAACTTTAAGCCAAACCCTTTGGATGGTGGTTTGAATTATTAAGTTGTTTTCATAGTTATCATTTTAACAAACTTAGAAAATACCTCTATCAGCCCAGTGCTGCATTTTATATACAAAGAATACAAGAAATACTGATGATCAATAACTTGTTAGAAAATATAACTAATGGTGTTGGGAAAACTGGTTGCACACATTCAGAAGATTCCATCTAGACCATATTTATTACTAAGCACCAAAATAAATCCAACATCTATTTATGATAAATTCCATGAAAAAAATAGATAAAAACGGACCTTCTCTCAATCTGATAAAAGCCATTTATGACAAACTTACTACCAACATCATATTAAATGGGGAAAAGCTGAATGCTTTCCCTCTAAAATGCGGAACAAAACAAGGATGTCCACTATCACCACTCCTATTTAACATAGTACTTGAAACATCTGGTGCAAACAGGCATGAGAAAGAAACAAAAGAGATACACATAGGAAAGGAATCAGTCAAATTATTACTATTTGAAGATGATACAATCTTTTACATAGAAGAGCCAAAAGACTCCATCAAATCATTTCTAGAATTAATAACAATGTTGAGCAATGAAGCAGGATACAAAATTAGCACAAAAATCAATAGTATTTTTGTACATTAATAATGATGGCACTGAGAAAGAAATTGGGGAAACAATACCTTTCTCAATAGCATCAAGAAAAATTAAATACTTGGGAATTAATGTAATGGAGGAAGTGAAACACCTCTATAACAAGAACTAAACTACTTCAAAAAGGAAGATTTATGAAGACATCAGAAACTGGAAAAACATTCCTTGTTCCTGGATAGAAAAAACCAATATTGTCAATTGGCCATATTCCAAAACATATATATCTATATATCTATATCTATATCAGTTTATATATAAAATAATCTCAATCAATGCCAGCAGCATTCCTCACAGAACTAGAGAAAACAATCTTGAAATTCATATGGAACCAGAAGAGACCTAGCATAGCAAGACCAATTCTGGGCAGCAGGAGCAAAGCAGAAGGCATCATAATCCTGGATTTCAAGTTATATTATAAAACTGCCATGACAAAATTAGCATGGTAAAAACAGACATGTGTATCAATGGAACAGAACAGAAGATGCAGAAACAACCTCAAACATGTTCAACCATCTGAAGGTATTGACACTGCCCATTTCAGTTCTTGGTCATCTCTTTTTATTTTTTTCTCTAAACAAATTTTTATTTGTTTTATGTCGTTGGCTATCATAGTCTCCAGATTTAACTTTGTCCTCCATCACTCATCCAACAGTCACATTCAGTACCACTATTTTTTAACCAGTCATTATACATTTCTCCATGAATTCTTGCCGTCACTTGCAATTAAACAGTTCAAAACCAGGACTTATTTCCTAAAATTGTTACTTCCTCTTTAAGTTACCTATTTCTCTGATGAGTACTAATATTACTGCCCAGATTCCACAGATTTAAAATTTCAGAGATATTGCCCATAATCTCTGCATGCAATCACTCACCATATTCTATTTATTTTTCTTTTTAAATGTCTCGAGTTCCCTCCATTCTATTTCTGATATCATTATCCTAATCTAGAGCCTCATAAACTTCTCCCCTTTGTCTTTCCAGGTCTAGTTTTCACTAGTGAATTTCACTAATTCACTAGTAACCCTGATAAAATTCTGCAAGATTCATCTGCTCAAAATGTTTTTCCATTAAGTCTTCAGATATTAACAATTTGCTGACAGTTTCCCATTAGAAAGTGCCTAAAATTCAGTGTCTAATAAAATTTGATCTTAGATTCCCATTCAGATTTACTTTCTGTTCCTCCACAGCTCAATGCCTTTGCCCTAGGCAGATCAGGCTCCTTGGTGTATCCTGCAGGTGTTAAACTCACTCTAACTTCTGTGACTAGGACTGAATTCAAACAACCTACTTGTAGTCACTTCTTATATGTTTAGCACACTTGTTTAGCACAGTCACAAATCGTAGATATTCTATTAAATCCATCTCATGTTCTCTCCTCTTTGAAACCTTCTCAATTTTGCCTGTCTTTGTTCTCTGAACTTATTTGCCATTAAAAAATAACATTGGTTTATGGTCTCAAATTTTTTATGTTCTCTCAGTCTTTTAGTTCTACTAACACTGTACATCTCCCAAAGGGAGGGACTCTGTCTTATCTTACTTTGTGCCATGTATTCTATTGAGCTTGATTAATACTTGTTTAACTGGATGGCAACATATTTTAGATATTTCAATAGGAACATGAGAAATAATGAAATGGATTTGAATAGAATTTATGCAGAACTAGTTTAACTAGGAAATTATGAAGGTTATCCTGCATAGTGCCAAATCCATACAATTACCTGTGTGTTTTAAGAATTAGTACCTTCCTTTTAGAATCCCCTATTACCAGCCAATGATCCTGCAAATGCAAATTTATAATTTTCTTTGCCATAGAAGAATCTTGCTTTTATCTTTTTCTTTTTTTTTTTTTTTTTTTTTTTTTGGTTTTTCTCTGGTACCGGGAACCGAACTCAGGACCTTGCACTTGCCAGGCAGGCGCTTTGCCGCTGAGCTAAATCCCCAGCCCCCTCTTGCTTTTATCTTACATAGCTCATGAATTCACTAAAAGTTTGATTAGAGGTATGAGGGAGAAAGTAGTAGAAAGTGAGAATTGATGATTCTGGATTAGGAAGATACTGACATATTAGATTCAGCCTCGACTCAGTCTGTACCCTTTCCTTAACCTATCATTCTGTTTGGGCTAACTGAATCCTTGGATAACTTATTGTATTTGCAGGACCTGATTACCTGATATGGCCAATATTTAGGGAAATTGAGGGCCAGTTTTTAAGAAAATTGATGGAAATATATTTGTGGTTATTTACTTATTAAGTAGATACAGGTAGCTTTTAGTTCTAATTTGGCTATTCATAGTAAAACAATGACAAAATAAATTTGAATGATTAAAACTTGTAAACATAAAATTACCTATAAACAAATATCATTAATATATTTAAAATATCATGCAGTTCACTATATTTTATAATACTTTAAAATATAAATATTGTTTTATTTAAAATAATATACAAAGATTTCAGGTTTAGTTATATATTTTTTGAATAACAACCTACTAAATATAAATATATGTTATGGCAGCTGTCTGGATTTCAAAACAATTTCAGAACACTGGAAACAGAAGCATTGAATTCAAAGAGGTGGGTCTCACCAGCCAATTTGTTTACCCTTTAAAACAACTTCCCTGGTGCCAAGTAGAAAAGATGCTCCTGGCCAAAGATTTTGACAAAAATAAAATGGGCTTTGTGTTAACTTGGTCTATGTCAGCTATGTCTAAGTTACAAAACAAATCATAGGATTTTCTTAAACTCACTAATCATTGAAAGAGTTTTCTTTCCTTTTGAAATCTTTAGTCAGAGCTTGCCAATTTCTAGTTGGGTGATGTGTGATGTGTTTCAAGAAAATTTCTTAACCTTTTTCGGTCTCATTTTTCTTTTTCCCAAACAGAGGGGAGGGGACGGAAACACCTTATCTAAATCATAGACTGCTGAGAGGCTCAGGTTGTACAGAGTGTGAAAGGTACCTTGTGAAAATGCCAAGTCACTCTTCACTTTTTGGTTTACCTTCAGCAGTCACTATATATTTTCTTTCTATATTGGAAAAAACTTACCATTACATTACAGAAATTCCATTGAGTCCTTAAAATAGGATTTGAAAATATACCCTACATTTGTGGCCTAATTGCAAAGGTGCTGGAGTCTTGAGGAGTGTCCCCTCTGTATTTCACCATGCTGAGCCCTAAGCAGGAGTGAGCAATACTTGTTAATAGACTGATTAGGTGATCAAACCTCTGGCCAAGAAATAAAGCAGAAAGATTTCCTATTAGCAGTTTAATTTAAAGCTGGAAAGGCAGATACGTTAGCCCCAGATTCTGGGGGATTTGTTAAACTGAATTTTATTGTATACTGTTTTGGTACTAGTACTGAAATATCAATCGTCCTTACCTGATGCCTTCAAGGATCACAGCTCAGGGTCCTTTTGCATTTGCTCTCAGCAACAAGCTCCAAATCTTCAGGAAATCCGATCTATTAGCCTCAAAGAGGTAAACCTTCTTGGTGAGCTGCAAGTGTAAATCTGGGTATCTCCCAGAGCAGTAAATGTGCACTCAATTTGCAGAGTGCTTGACGTTTAGCGCTTTTTTTTTTTTTTTTCTTTTTTTTGCAAAGTTGAGTTGTGCTGTTTTCAAGAGAGCAGGGCAGGAACGTTTACCAGGCAGTATATACAGATTCTTCTTCCTCTTTCAGATTAGTCCTCAGACTATTTAAAACACGCTCGAGTTTCGCTTCTCTGGTACAGAGTTAGAAGGGAAGGAACGGAGAGGGAGGAAGAATTGAAACTGGAGACTTGCAGGCTGTGTGTGCAAACGAACTTTTATCCCCCAGTTTCAGTAATAGAATTCTCAGGAAGTCATGCAGCTGCTCCCAGATGGGAAATAGGGAGGAGCATCTTCTGTTCAGCTTAGATTTTTATGACTGGAGATTAGTTAGACTATTTGTAGGCAAAGGGGAAAGGGGATAATCCTACCCGTATATGCTAATAGAACTGGAATTATGTGAAATGTAAGCAAAATAAATTTCCTCTTTCTCTCTCTCCTCTCCCTCCTCTTTTTATTCTCCCTTCTCTCCCTCTCCCTCTCCCCTCCCTGCCATGATACTTAGGACTCTACATTCTAAAAAAATATTTCTCTTTCAGCTGCATTATGTCATGGAAAAATAAGTGATTTCGTTTGAATTTCTTTTCCCAAGAGTCTCACAAAAATAAATAGCCTTCATTGGATTAAAAGGTTTCCCACCCTCCCTATCTTACTGAGATGGTTTAGAATGATTGAGTTTTCTGTCACTGATCCTATGGTAGGAACATAAGGACCAGGTAAGTGCTTTTGGTCTTTGGCTGGCCGCTGAGTGGAATACTCTGTGTGGCTTTTGGAGAGGAGGGACATGCCAACTTGGTATGTGTTGACAGGAGTCTGTATTGAAACTTTGATGATACATATCAAATAGCTAAGATAATTATATAAGTTGGTTGCATGAATTACATTAAGAAGGAGAAAAGGGAAAGGAAGGAAGTGAAAAGGGAGAAAAATGCATGTTTACTATCCTATTGGTGACTCAGTTCATTGAAAAGGAAGGTTTGTGCTAATATAGATTGGAGAATTTTTTATGCCCATATCTTGTACTCTGAATAACTACTTTGACAATGACTATTAACTATTGTTATTCTCTTATTATTTTGTTATGAAATTCTGTTTTACCTTTTCTCCATAAAATTCAACCAAAAACCCATATGTTTTTCAAAGATGTAACGACTTTGATTTTTCAATATTTTAAAATTTTAATAAGATTCTGTATATGTCTCATTAGATTTACACTTACATATTTAATTTTTGGAGCTTTTTAATATGGTATTATTGTGTTTTTGCCTTCTACTTGTTTGGTATCTGTCTAAGTGTAATTCATTTTTATATGTTCACACTATATTCCACAGCCTTATTAAAGCATCTTATGAGTTCAAAAAAAGGTTCTATGTGGGTATGGACATAAACATGTCCATTTTAATATGTTCCCATGCTTGATGAGCTCATAAAATGAGTCCAGCTATGACTTTTGGCCTGTTATCTTCTTTAGGAAAATAAAAGATTTGTTCAAATTTTGCTTCTTCTGGATGCCAGAACTACTTTACAGCCAACGTGGGGTCAGGGTTCAAAGGCCTTTGGAATCTTTATCTCCTTTGATGGAATGCTTGGATATGGTGATAATGGTGGTGATAACCATGGGGGGAAAATACCATCCAGCCACATAAATGGGGAGATAACATTTGAATTTAACACTCAACTTTAATCCTACCCTGGGGATTTTTACTAACTAAGCTGGCATTTTAACCCATTTTTCTTCAACTGAGTTTGGAGCCCTAGAGATCTACAGGAAAGGGAGACAGAGTGAATTATTACTGATCCTCCAGTCTCAAATGTTACAGCTATTTTGAGTTATATGAAAGGGTAATACATTTTTAGGTATTGAAGAAAAGAGAAAAGGGCTAGATTCTTGAGCTTCAAGATGACAGTTTTATAGATGAGGCAGAAAGGGGATGCCCTGCAGTAGTTCTATGTGCTCCTCTAGTTATTTCCTTCCTAAGGGCTTCTCTATTCCTGAATAATGGGAAGGGATATACTCCAATCAGCCCCAGACCCCGAAATCTATCCTTGCCTTGTACAGCTACATCAATTTATACCATACGTGCTATAATTGACAGGAGGTTTCTTATCACTCTTCCTCTCCTCCCCTGCTTTTCTTTTCCTCTTCACTCATTTTCATTACATTGTTATCCCCACATTTTCTGTCATTTCAGGAAAAGATGAAGTGTCCAGATTGATACTTCTCTACTGCCATCTCACTCTTTCTCATTTTCCCAGGCTCTCAGTTCTTACTTTCTTACTGGAATAGAGAAGATAATACAGGAAATAGCTAGAATAAGGGGGATAAAGTGTAGTTGGACAGGGAATTTGCCTTAATAAAGTGAGGCTTAGGCAAAAGGTTAAGGAGTTTTCAATTAGATAGTATTTACCCAGTAACTATGAGCTAAAAGATTCATAGTTTACATGAATTCAGAGCTAGAAATGGCCTTGAAATATCATCTTGTTTAGATCTTATAAAAACTTTAATTCTTGAGGGAGATATGTACCTAACTTCTCACTGTTTCCTGATGTATTTGTTCACTGCACTGTATGGTTTGTTTAAAAAATAATTTTATTCTAGCTCTCTCATATCATAGATGAGAAAACAAGTTGGAGAGAGAGAAGCTCTCTCAAGGTGTATTTGTTTTATTGCAAAATCAAGAGAAGGAATCACAGTTTTCTCCTCAGTACTGAAATTGTTCCACAAGTCAGCCCTAATTGGCATTTTGGCAGAATGGACAAAGAATGTTATTATACTCACAGAGTAGATATATACATATATACACACATACACTCACTCTTAGAGACTGGGATAGCCATGATTCATCTTTTGGCCCAAATTTATAGAAAACTGGAGACAGTGAAGAAAATTATTTTGGCTATAGAAATGTGGTGCTCACCCATGTCCCTCTTTCAGTCCTAAGCGTATCCTACCCCATGAGTATAAGGAACTCTGGGCTATTATTTCTATAGCAAGGCAGGGATACTCTTAACTGAAAAAGTGGGTGAGTTTGAATGAATCTCATGTAATGGAATAGTATGATCCACGTAGGAGAGATAGGACAGATCATCTAAACCAACACTCCATACATTTTTCTATGCCATCAAATATAGCCACTAGCTATGTGTGGTTATTTAAACTTAAATGTAAATTAATAAGTTAAAAATATTCTGTCTTTGATCACCCTAGTCACATTTCTGGGGCTCAGTAGCATAACCATGTGTGGATGTGGATGTGGCCACTGCAACACAGATTTAGAGGGGATGTTAAAATTAATATCTGGTTTGGAGGATATCATTACTACAAGGTCATGTAACTAAGTACCAACATTTGGAAATGAGTCCAGGTTTCCAGAGTGCGAATCAAGAGTAAACAGGTTTATTTCCACATTTGTATTTATTTCTGGCTCACTGTGAAGCTACAAGGGTGGTTGAGGTGGAGTGAATATGTATGAATCCATGTGTGGGCTTTCAAGATTATTTTGGTGGGGGAATAAGAATGTATCTGGTCGGCAAGGATGAGGGAGCATCTTTGCATGCATTTGTATACTTCCTGTTTTTCTTTCTTCACAGAACCAAAAGAGAAAATATACATAAATATTAAAGGATAATTAATTAGATAAATTTCAATTTTATATTACCTACTTAGTATTTTTCCCTAGGTCCAGCTGGAGATGGGTGTGGGGAGGGAGGTGGGCTGGATTGGTGGGTCATTTTGGTAGCTGAGGAGAGAGGGAGTCTCTTAGGTTTATGTGGTCCGGAAGCCTGCTAAAAGCCTTCAAACCCAGGAACTGGGGCCAGTTGAACATGCTTTTCTTCAGTTTTTGCTCCAAGAGAGGGCCAGTAATGGAGGAATTGGGTAAGGGCTGTCAGTGAGAGCTAGGCTTTTCCTTAATTAGAGGAATTGTCTATAACAGTTCAAAGTGTATAAAGTTTTAGATTTTCCCAAGGAAAATGAAAGAAAAAACTTAGAGAAATCACCACACTATAAATTCCTAATGAAAGTGAAGCTGTACCTAGATACACATCTACTAAGAGATATTTTAGGAGTTTCTAGGAATGCTTTCTTTCTTTCTTTCTTTTTTTTTTTTAAGAAACAGACATCGATTTACAAAATAGCATAAGACCAATACAAGCAATACAGAGTTACAAACAAAACAGTAGGAAATTAACAATGGTTGTTGTATTACATACTGATATCTTCAAAGTGGTTTCTCAGGAAAACAAATAGAGACATGCAAGATTGATCAAATAATTACTCATTAACTGTTCCTTTTAGTAAAGTGGTAGAAGTCAGTAGTACAACTATGTTAGCTATCCTGGATATACATACATACATAATTTCCCCTTCTTTCTTTTCTCTTTTCCCTCACCCCAGTTGATCTTTACTTTTGAGCATTTTCCTTTCATTTAACAATGTCTATCATACCTCCTAATTTTTATTTACTCTTTCAGGTTCTTACATGAGTGAGACAATAGGTTGCTTACACTCGGAGGTCTGATTTATTTCACTTATGAATATGGTCTCCAGTTGTGACCATTTATCTGTAAAAGCCTCGAGTTTATCTTTCTTTATACCTAAGTAATATTTCATTATATAAAAGTACCACAATTTTTTTTATCCATTCCTCAGTGGATAAGAATTCTTCAGTTCCTCTAATCTTTTACTACTCAAAATCTTCAAGTATTAGCCTGAAACACTGTTAAATATGGTTTATTCTTGTGACTTTTAAGTATTTATGAGAGGACAACAGTCTTCTGTTAAATGCCTTTAAATTCAGATCTACGAAAGAGAAATGGCCCAAGGTCTGATCCTCATAGGAAAGGTCATTCACACTAGGTGGGGAGAATTTGACAAGAAAAATATACCTTGGATTATACATTGAAGGTTTTATACAATGAAAGATAATGTTTACTTTTGCCTCCTGAACAGGTGGATACAGAGGGATTGTAAGGTTATAGAATCCACTTCCCACTCTCACTCATCAGGCAAGTTTAAGAAACATAGAGCCCGTACCCAGTTACAGTTTACCTTGTAACTGCAGATGACTTTTAGAGTCCTACAGATCCTTCATAGAATGCTGGAGCAGGATAGAACTAGGAGAGCATCCATTTTTTCCTCTCATTCCACACATGAGGAAATTTATGATGAAAATTAGCCATAGTTGCCTTCATTGAATGCTGAATAAATAAACGTAGTGTAACTTTCTCATATTACAGTTAAGAAAACAGTCCAGAGA